ACCATTTCAGACTCTGTCTGGAGAATTGCCTGCTCCTAGACTTGATCCCCCACCCATTTCCAGACTGTAGAACAAAAGAAGAGAAAGAAAAGGCTCAAACGAATTCTAAAATCCCCAAACTGGCACTGTAGACCCAGTCACCAGCTGGACAGCAAATCCAATTCATGGCCATTTTTACTCCTGCCAATACAACTGTAGTTTTGTCTCATGAAACTCCCAAAGCTCCATCCAATAGCAGAGTGTCAGAATCAGGAGGAAAAGGTCTCCTTAAATGCCTTGCAACAATTTCCTGTGATGAAATGGGGGTTGCTGGGTGCACTATTTATTCCTGGTTGGGGGAAAAGCACACAGCAAACTGTAGAGTTGCAAAAAAGAAAACAAAGGACAGCAATAAAAAATGACACTTGTGGCTGCTGGGATGGAGGACTGTGCCCTGCTCACAAACTACAAGACCTGCAGTGTAATTCAGATTTTAGCTCTTGACACCAACTCATTGTGGCTCAAATTATCACCACAGAATGAAAATTTACAGGTTTATCAATGCAATATGAAAAATTTTTATTTCTTCCTTTTCCAGAGAGTATCTTGTTAAGACACTTCCTTTGCAGATCTGGACATCCTGATTTCATAAAGGTTAGTGTTCACTAACAGGTGCTGTGAAAATTGGATTTCTTCTCCCTGCATCAGTTATCCTTTGGTGTTTTCTGAGCACAGAAGAGCCACCCTTGTAGTTATTTACCTCTTATGTCCTGAAATATTTCCCTTTCTCAAGATTTTAAATCCTTCCTGTCCCTTTTCTCTCTCCCCTCAATACACTCCTGTTCAGTTCAATATCTCCATAAATCTGAGTTGGTGGCTTGAATTAGAGGTTCTGTCAGTTTTATTTCTGTGTGGCTCCAGTGAGAGGTGTGAAGGCAGCTCCAGCTGCATTTGGTACCTGCTCTCCAGACATGCTGAACTTCTCCACACAATTAGCCTTCTCCTCATGCAGAGCTAATTCTGGTTTATCTCCTATTTTTATTTCCTATTTTCATATTATTTCTTTATTATTTAACTTAAATCAAACAGCTGTCTGTGTTCTGTGCTGCAGGTTTTGGCAGAGGTGGGAATTTAAGGAGACCTTTTCCTCCTGATTCTGACACACTGCTGTTGGATGGAGGTTTGGGAGTTTCATGAGAAAAAACTACAGTTGTATTGGCAGGAGTAAAAATGGCCATGAATTGGATTTGCTGTCCAGCTGGTGACTGGGTCTAAAATGCCAGTTTAGGAATTTTAGAATTCCTCTGAGCCTTTTCTTTCTCTCTACAGTCTGGAAATGGGTGGGGGATCAACACCAATTCCAAACTGTTAATTTCCATTGCAAATGGCTGCAGAGGAGCATGCAGTGGCTGCTCCAGGTGGGAGAGCAGAGTCTGAGCCTGCCTGGGCTGCTCCAACCCATCCCCACCTGGGCAGAGGCTCTCGCTCTGTCTGTGGCACCCAAGTGACAGAATGAGTGACAGAATGAGTGACATGCCATTTCTGAGTGACAGAAACGTGGAACTGTTGCTGCAGTCCTGATGCAGGGGTGGGTGAGAGGCTGCTTTCCCTGCTCTGGGATGTGAAGGTGACCTGGAAATGGTTTCCATGGCAGTGGGATGTTCTCTGTGCTGCCCATGGCAGGGCAGAAGAAAATGATGCTGAAAACCTGAGCCCATCTGTGAGTGACTTTCAAATGCTCTGCAAAGCTGGGTGTGGGAACCCAGGACATCCCTCTGGCTGCCCTGGAGGACTCCAGACCCTGGCAGGGGGCTCAGAGACCTTGGCACAGAGTCAAAGATACCTGTGCCTTCGATCTTAGCCCATGGAAACAATTATCAACTATGTGGGAGGATTTACAAGCCACAAGGGTTTGAGTAGAATGATAGTGAATTTGTCACAGGGTGAAAATGTAGAATTGTGGGGATTTAGAATGGGGGTTCAAGAGGCAAGATGGAGGAATCTGGGCATGGCATGTCTTTCTCCTTCTCCTTCTCCTTCTCCTTCTCCTTCTCCTTCTCCTTCTCCTTCTCCTTCTCCTTCTCCTTCTCCTTCTCTTCTTTCTCCTTCTCCTTCTCCTTCTCCTTCTCCTTCTCCTCCATCTTCATCTTCATCTTCTGCTGTGATGGTGGCACTTCTGGATTGGTTTAGAGTAGAGACAAACTGTCTAACAGAGGTGACAGGTATTGGAAAATTATTGTAAATAAAGTACACATAGTTTTTAGTATAAAAAGATAGCACTGGACAGCAATGCCTCAACCCAACCTGCTGGACATACCTCAGCAGGTCAGAAAAAGAATGTAATGGATAAGGGAAAATGAACAACCTTGAGAACCAGAGCTGAGGAATCTCAACTTCTTCTTCAGTTGTGGGACTGAGAAATTTTTTTTTTACAATAAAATTTTTTGTAATAATTTTTTTTTATTCTTTAATACCTCGGGAGCCATTTCAGCAACAACAAATCTGAGAGCTGGGGATGTTTTTGGGGCCCATCAGTCCCTGGGTGGATGAGTCCTGGTGTGTCTGAGCCCTGGGCATGACAGATGTTGGCTCAGAAGCAATCAGAGCCTGTTGTGGCTCCTGCTGTCCCCTGTGCTGCTGGAGCTGCAGAGCCTGACAGGACAGCAGCTCCTGCTGCTGTGTGCTGGGCTGGACTGCCTGGGCAATGGATTTAACTCCCACAGTCAGCCCAGAAACAAAAAAATCCTCCCATGGGTATTGCAGGTTCTTTATTTCAAAATAACACTTTTTATCTAAAAGGTATTTTAAGTCGAATTGTATCAGCCTCCACATATTTTCCCTCATTTTTTCTTGATCTGTTTTTGGCAGCCTTAAGAGGGAGAAAATTCCTCACAAAAGACTGGACCTTGCCTTTGTTAGAGACCATTTTTCCACTTGTCATTGTGAAAAAAACCACCAATGAGAAGCAATCAGCAAAACCAAGGCTATCAAACAATAAAACCTTGAAGTACAGCAATTATTTCAAACTCTACCACCCAAACCCTCAGCTCTCATGACCTTTCAGCTTTGCAGGGTGCACGTGGGTGAAACCACTTGAATACTGATAATTTTTCAATGTCATCCCACAGCCCTTGTTTACTCCCTGGCAGAGATAAGTTATCTCACAGCTCTCTGAGGCAGAATCAGTAATTACGAATGTAAGTTGCTTTGGGCACCCCAGGGAACACAGGGAGCTCCCTGGGGTTTGACTCCTGCCCACTGTGAGCCAGGGGAAGCTGCCTGGAGGGAGGAACTTGGGCTGCCCATCCCTGCAGTGAGGATGAGGAGGAGTTACAGAATGAGTAAAAGCAGTGAGGATGTGGTGGAGCAGTGAGGATGAGGAGGAGTCACACCCCAAGTAGGAGCACTGAGGGTGAGGAGGAGTCACACCCTGAGGAGGAGCAGGGAGGATGAGGAGAAGCAGTGAGGATAAGGAGGAGTTACGCCCTGAGGAGGAGCAGTGTGAGGATGAGGTGAAGTTGTACCCTGAGTAAAAGCAGTGAGGGTGTGGTGGAGCAGTGAGGATGAGGAGGAGTCAGACCCTGAGGAGGAGCAGTGAGTATGAGGAGGAGTTACACCCCAAGTAGGAGCACTGAGGTTGAGGAGGAGTCAGACCCTGAGGAGGAGCAGGGAGGATGAGGACGAGCAGTGTGAGGATGAGTCATACCCTGAGGAGAGCAGTGAGGGTAAGGAGGAGTTACACCCCAAATAGAAACGCTGAGGGTGAGGAGGAGTCAGACCCTGAGGAGGAGCAGGGAGGATGAGGTGGAGTTACACCCTGAGTAAAAGGAGTGAGGCTAAGGAGGAGTAGTGAGGATGAGGAGGAGTCACACCCTGAGGAGGAGCAGAGCTCACAGGAGCAGTGAGGATGAGGAGGAGTCACACCCTGAGGAGGAGCAGAGCTCACAGGAGCAGTTCAGGACACTTTGTAGGACATTCATGGCATCCCAGGATGGTGTGGGTTGAAGGGCCCTCACAGCTCTCCTCATTCACTCCAGGCCCTGCCATGGCCGGAGCACCTTCCACTAGGCCAGGCTGCTGCAAGCCCGGCCTGGAACATTCCCAGGGGAATCCACAGCCTGTCCCAGTGTCCCACCACCCTCAGAGTGAAGGATTTCCTCCCATGGTCTCATCCAACCCCACTCTCAGCTCAAAGCCACCCCCTTGCCTCTGGGCCCAGGCCTTCATGGAAAGACTCTCCAGCCTCCCTGTGAGCTCTCAGCTCTCCCCAGACCCTTCTCCTCATACAGGGTTAATTCTGGTTTATCTCCTATTCTTTATTTCCTATTTTCATATTATTTCTTTATTATTGAACTTAAATCAAACAGCTGTCTGTGTTCTGTGCTGCAGGTTTTGGCAGAGGTGGGAATTTAAGGAGACCTTTTCCTCCTGATTCTGACACACTGCTGTTGGATGGAGTTTTGGGAGTTTCATGAGACAAAACTACGGTTGTATTGGCAGGAGTAAAAATGGCCATGAATTGGATTTGCTGTCCAGCTGGTGACTAGGTCTAAAATGCCAGTTTGGGAATTTTAGAATTCTTCTGAGCCTTTTCTTTCTCTTCTTTTGTTCTACAGTCTGGAAATGGTTGAGGGATCAAGTCTAGGAGCAGGCAATTCTCCAGACAGAGTCTGAAATGGTTTCAGTTCAGAAAAATAGAGACATTTTAGGGAATAATGTCATTTAAGGAATGAGTCTCATTTCAGAGAAGTTTGCTATAATTCAGACACCCCTTCTAAGTGAAGAAATGAGTGAGCTGCATAAAACAAGGAGGTTTTGGTCTGCTAAGCTGAGCTATTCTGTGGGTACCTCAGTCCAGGTTTGGGCTGTGATGATTTCAGCCTCGAGGTAATCTGAAAGAAGTTGGGGAGGCAAAATGCAGTTGAGTTATTTTGGCATGCTGAGGCAGAAAGAAGAGACAGAAAAGAAGAACAGAAACCCAAGACCTCTGAAAAGCCCAGTCTTTTGAAAGTAAAGTGTAATTAAGGACATAAGGATGATTTTAATTTAATTTCACACTAGGAAACACACTGTATAGCTTTTGTACTTCGGGAAATTATACATAAAATTATTAAGAAAATAAGACTGTGTAAATACCAAAGGATTGTGTCTTAAACTCCATGAAATTATAAATCTGAGAGAGGCCCTGTGGCTGGTAATGCCACATGTCACATGCACCCTGTAAAGGTTTAGTGTCACTCTCACACCGAGCAATTCCATTTTATTCCATTTTTATGTTAAAAGTGCTCCTTTCCTCCTAGTCCCAGCTCCTCCCATCCCCATGTACAGATGAAGGACAGCATCATGGAAGGGAGGAGTTTGAACTGCAGGGTTTTTTCCTCCCAAAGTGAGCACAGATGCACTGAATCCCTTGGAGCAGCTCTGGCTGGACAAGGCCACTCTGATCTACTGCAGAAATTCTGTGACTCAGAGCAACATCTGGGATGAGTCCTCACTGCCAAACACTCTAGAGACAGCTTCAAAAATAAATGGGACAATTATCAAACAACTTTAAAGATTAGGTGACCTTTAATTTGCTAATAGTTAATGCCTCCTATAAATGAAAAAATCATGGGAGGAGGAAACTCTCCTTGAAAAATGCCATTTGTGCTAGAAGTGTGAAGCCCTTAGAGGTTACCCCAGGGAGAAATTTGGCAATGGGAAGTGAGGAGGGCATTGGGAGGGAAAGGGACATTGAGGATGAAGTCAAACCATTTGTGGAAAAAACCCAAAAACTTCATGGTGGAGGTCAGGAGAGAAAATACCCAAGCTTCCTTTAAGGGCCAGTATGCAGGTTTAAGAGAAAATTAATAAACTAAAAGTGAGTGTGTGAGAAATAGACTGCCAGGTTTGGGGACATGGGAACAGGAGAAAGGGTCCAGATGGTGACAAACCCAAATGCTGCAAGAACTCTGCAGTAAATGAGGATCCAGAGCCAGGTGTGTGCCTGCATTAGAATCCTGCTCCTGAACACACAGACCAGGTTTATTTCCTCATTTCCTGGCATTTCCCCTCTTTACACCTCTGCCATATTCCTGGGAAAGTCAGAGAGCTGCACACAACAAAAGCTGATACTTGGGAGTTTTAGCAAATGAAGCCAAGCAGGGATCTGATTTCTGCTCATTTAAACTTTTGCCTGTGGAACAGCTAGAGGCTGTTTCTGTAGGATATAATCCTAGCATGTCCCTCAGTATATACTCACTAACAGTATATTATGCTCTGGTATTTTGTTAGTAATATATTTAGCATTAGGAGATAGTTTTCTTTCTTAGAGGGTGAATATTATTCTATGTATATATGTCCTGTCTAATGTATCTTTAAGAAAAATGTAACTTAACAATATATATCTATTCTTACAATCTTCCTCTGCTAAACCACAAAAAAACCCCAAAATACAAAAAAACCCCAATGAGGTAAAACACGATTGAACAGAGTTTGTTTCATTGTTTGCATAACACCTTTTGTTCCCCCCTTTAAAATGAAATTAAAATAATACAAATTTTTGTTCCCAATGTGGCTCAAAGGTGCCGCAATTTTCAGTGGAGGTGTGTGTGAGCCACACAATGTGGAAAGGAATGGAAATTTTATTCCCCAGCTTGCATTGTGGACCTTATTCCTGTATGAAAACCTTTTTCCTGGGAAAAATTAATACACATACAGTTGAATGATCTTATTTCATCTCAGGCAAATCACATTCTTCAAAGATCCACAGTGCATCTTTCCAGCAACATAAATTCAGCTGGCTCTTTTAGGAACTCTGCCCCTGTTTGGCAGGTAAATGACACAGCAAAACACCTTGGAAGAAATCTATTTTTTTTTTACTTTTGCCCCAGGAATTATTTTACTGCTGATTTAAACATTCCATAGCACCATGATTAGACCCAGCTCTTTACATTAATTGGCCTCCACGTGGGGCCTGATTTTGTGTCTCTGCAGCTGCACTGAGGGAAATTAAAATTTAGAACTCACTTGTGCACTGCACGAGTTGTTTGCTAACACAGAATGACAGCAAAGTGAATTTTACAGCCCTTCCTTTCCCTGAGAGCCTGGGAACAAGATTGCTCTGGACCTTTTTCAAGCACTTAAATTTAACTTCTTATGTAAAATCTGACTGTTGTCAGGAAAGGCTGCTGCATATTCCTAAGGCATCTCTATAATTGCAAATATAAGATTCATCAGAGTAATAAAAAAATCTAGCTTCAGAGTTAAATAAGGTGAATAATTGAGTGAGAAACACAGAGCCCTTAAAGCCTGTACTGCTGGCACACACTCCTGGGTGTGTTTATCATTCAGTTTGTCACCTGTAGGGGAAGGGATAACAAATCCAGGGGTAACACAGTCTTGGCTTTGGACTGGGGCTTCCACAAAGGCTGAAAACTGTGCCCAGCCCCTGCATAGCCAGGGCTGTAAATCCATGTGGGTCAGGTGAGGGTGGTGGGCACAGTCTGGTACCAGTCCAGTCCCAGTTTTGCAGAGCTGTAAATCAGTGTGGGTCAGGTGAGGGTGATGGGCACAGTTTGGTGCCAGTCCAGTCCCTGCATAGCCAGGGATGTGGTGGGCACAGTTTGGTGCCAGTCCAGTGCCAGGGGCATCCCAGGGCTGGGCTCTGCAGCCCAGGTAAGGCAGAGCTGTGCCCACCCAGGGCTGCTGCTCCTCCCTTGGGTCACTGCTTGCTCCTGGCCAGTCCAGGCATGGCTGAGCTGGACAAATGTTCCTCCTTCCTCCTTCCAGCTGGACAAATGTCCCTCCTTCCTCCTTCCAGCTGTCCTGGGGCTGCCTGGGCTCAGCAGGAGATCACCAGGGGGTTGGACAGGGACCGTGGGCTCTGTGCCTGCTCCAAGGGCTGCTTGTGCAAGAGTTCACAGGCTGCCAGCTCCTGCTGAAGGGTGTCCAGCACTTCCAACAGCTGGGCTTTGCCTTGGGAAAGCAAATGGCAAACATGAGCATTTGAACAAAGTCAGCAAGTTGCAGTTTCACAATTATAACAGGCTCTTTTCTTCATAGGTGCCCTTTCAAGTGGTTATCATAAAATGTCTAAATTTTGTGAACAAATAACGAATTCTTGTCCGAAAAAACTGAGTAAATCTGGGTTCAGCTGTCTTCTTTGGTTTCCTCTTGCTTCATCCCCTGCCCACTGAGGTCTCATGTACTTGTGTGAATAAAGACTATTTCATATCACCATTGCCAACCCAACCAACCACTTTGGCTTGTCAGAGAAAAAAGGTTTGATTTGATTACCAAGACTTGGGCAAGAAAAATGTTTGATTACAAACTGGGAAAGCTGCTGAAGCCTCCCCAGGTGCACAGGCAGACAGTGGGAAGCAGAGAAGGTGAGCTGTGCATGGCAGTGGTGATGCAGAATGCACAGAGAGCAGCACTTGGAGTTTAGGGGAGCTGAGTTGTGCTGCTCATACAAAAGGAGGAGCTTTGAGCAGCATCCCTTGGTATTATTGTCACTGCTAGTAATGAAAGGATGGGACTTCTTTCAGGCTAAAAATGATTTATAGCTCAGACAAACATCAGTCTCAGGGGCTGTGAGGTTTTAGAGGAGCAAGCACTGGGCCATAGCTAAAGAGCAGTCACAAGTTCTTTGTTCCAAGGCAATACAGAACTTTCTAACCCAATGACAGCTGCCACAGGGTTTATTTTGCTTTTCTAACCCATCACCTTTACTCACTTCTGCCGCACTGTGGATACTTTTGTCCAATGGCTTCTGTCTCACATGCACACAAATGCTTCTGTTATAAATCTGAACTCTCAGCTCACTCCACACAACCCCAGCCCCACACTACAAACCCTTCACCATCTCAGCAGTACAGCTGCTCACTTACTTAAGGCATATTCTTACAACTATAGAACCATAAGTTTATGAGTTTTCTGCTTAATGTCTGTGTATTGTATTTTTACATCAACCCAAGCTTCTTCCAAGGCTGCAGCTCAAACCCTTCAGTATCTGTGGAAGTTTCCATTTTTCCAATTCCCACACCTTGGCGTCCCTGTTCCTGTGCTGGATAATTGACAGATAATTCTGGACACTGTGCTGTGGATCCAAAAAGTCTCTTCTCTTCTCCCAGGAGAACATCACACCCATGGCTCAGCTGTGGTTTCTGTCTGTATTGGTGTCCTGGAGCCTACAAAAGTCTGTCTTTGCCCTCTTTTCTCTGCTTCCTCTGCAGCTGAAGAGCAGAACTTGGCTCTGGGCTGCCTGTGCCCTGGATTGCTGGGCACAAGGAAAAACAGCCTTTGAAACTGCAAACCCCAAAGGGTTCCCATGATGTTCTCCCTAAATCCCTGTAAATAATATTCTCCAAAACCCAGCCCCCAGGCCACATCTGGTCTTTTCTAATCGAGTCTTTGCTGCCTGCCTATTAAAGCCCCTCCAAGCCATGTTCCTGGGACAGGATGTTCATTCCTTGCAGGGAAGTACAAATGCCCTGCTAATAGGAACAAAGTAATCAAAGCAAAGCCCTGGGGCCGTGATCCCTGCACGGCTCCTGCAAAGGCAGCTCCACACCACAGGCAAGGACAGGAGCTTGCAGGTTTAATTTTCACACCAGGATCATGAAGTGCTGTTATTAGAGGAGTGCAGGTTTGAGCTGGTTTCTGCACAACACTGTTCTGGTGGGTAAATCCTGTGTTGCAGCAGAGGAACCCAACACACTGGGATAGCAAACCTGAAAACAGCTGCATTACATACTTGGTAATTTCTCCACTTTCTCGTATCAATGAAACCCTAAAAATATTTGTAGGACACTGAATTATCCCCCTAAGGCCAAATTTTAATTAAATTTTCACTAAAAAAGCACCCTGGGTGTGGTTTGGATGCATCACAGACTAGAAAGCATCACTTTCTATAGGTATTCTTCTTGCAAGCTACCTCCTTCTTGCCAGCCTGTACCCCAGGATTGGAAATATCCTTTTCCTACCCAATGTTTGTCCCCAAAGGACATGGTTCTTTAGATGTGATTTCTTTTCTTACCAGGCTGGGGGTCACAACAGGATTCCAAAGTGCTCAGCAGGATTTTCCCCAGGGCTCGCTTCGATATGTTCTGCAAAAAACAAAACAAAATGATGGCACCAATGTGTCCTTCAGCAGCTCACAGATATGCAACAAAACCTGTGTGCAGGGTATTTGCATTTGGAAACTAAACCAAAATGCCACTGAATCCTGATTAACACAAGACTTGATATTTGCTTTATTTTCAAGATTTGATCTTTGACCCTGCTCAGACAGTTTGTAGGGGGTTGTAATTCCTTAATATGGCTGTGGAAAGAGAAATAACAATTATTCAGCAGGAAATACAGAATTTTCTAGAGCTTGTGCTTAAACAACTGTAGGTGGCAAGGAGGGCAAGCAGAGCAGAAGCTCTTTGAGTCCTCTGCCAGGTCTGTGGGAAGGGGAACTGGACCTGGTGGTGTTATTTTAGGAAGGGTCCTCTCAGGCCCAACTGAAGGACAGAGCAAAACACCACCAGGTCCTGTGGCAGGGCTGGATCTGAGATGTAATAAACATTAGCCAAAGTGAGAGCACTGTAAAAACTACGCAGGATCTGGATGGTCTCTCTCAGTGATGGTTTTACATATGAAATCTGGTGGGACATTACATAATGAGCCTGGGAAAGCAAACTGTCCTCATTTGCTGTCAAGACACTGGTGTGCTTTCTGGGAGATGGTCTGGCAATCAGTTTAATTAGCACTTAGAGAGCCCTGAGTAGCTGCAGGGACAGGTTGTTCTTGCTAAAACTTCAAGAAGTGCAAATGGAAGGCAGCAATTCTGGGAGGAAGATGCTGCTACCTCCAGGCAGAGCTGGCCCTGCTCCTGCCTGGAGCCCCCAATGGGGACTGGGGCAGAGTGGGAAGCAGTGTGAGGATTTCACATGGCCTCAGCAGCACTGTGTGAGGTTTTATTAGCCCTGTCAGCATGTGTGTGTGCCTTTGGGCAGTCACTTGTAGGTGGCAGGTTCTGTTGGGAATGAGATATTTCAGACACAAAGGTCAATGTGCTGGGGAAGTGACACCTAAACCCACAGGTTCTGATGGGTCTCTTTTGTCTTGGGTACCTCCCATCAGGGATTATGGGGATTCTTGCTAAGCTCCCCTGGCAGTTTTACCTCTTTAATGCTGACTCAGAGTTACATTAGCATGCAATTAATCAAAGGTCCTGTCCTAGAAGGAAAAATACATATTCTGGAATCTTCCTGATTGCTGACTCCTCTGTTTTCCTCGTTTGCCCTCAATTTTGGCTTAGAGGGTAATGAGCTTGAAGATTCAGCTCCCAGGAGATTCAAAGGGGTCTGAAAGCTTTCGGCAGCCACCAGGCAGCTCCCAGGGCACACATCTGTAAAATCCTGTCCTGCTGTAAAGGATTCTGTACTTCCTAGAAGGGATGAACATTTTCTCAGTTTGGAAGGGACTCCAAAGCCCAGTTTTCAGTCCCAGGAATGCTTTCTCACCATACCAAGCCTCGGAGCTGTTGGAGAAGCTGCAGAACATCCAGGAGCTTCTCTTCCACCAGGGACAGCCGAACCCTCTCTGTCTCCAGCATCTGCAGCTCCATCTTCAGCACTTCTGTCTCCTCCACCTTCTGCTGCAGCTCCCCGACCCATGGGCCCTTCATCTGCACAAAACACAGCAAACTGAAGGCACTGGAGCTTTTCCTTTCTTGCCCAAGCATTGCAAAGCTGAGGTTTCCCCCTTTTGTGGTAAATGGGGCTCACTCCAGGAGATTCACTTGAAGGGAAGTCCATTTCTCTAATGTGCTACATAAAGTGAGATATCAGGGGTTGTTAGGAAATCAGGGCTTTGCTCTTGTGCACAATGGGAGCTCATTCATCACTGGGTACAGGCAGCTCATTTGGGAATTTTAAATATTACATTTATTACATATTTTATACTTCAATACTAACATTGCTGTGTCAGCCTTCTCCCCTTTTGCATTCCCGTTGTCCTCTATAGAGCAAAACTAATTTTTGTGCCCCCAGCACAATCATTCTTTGTCTTGCAGCTCCTTCCTAGCAACCATCTGTACACTCAGTGAGACAGGAAGATGTCTCTGTCCCTGGTGCAGTGGGGACCAGGTGAGGAACACCAAGAGTAACAACCTCTCCCCTGTTTCTCCTTGCTTTTCTCCAGATGTTGGGATGAACTCCTCCTTTGACCCCGCATGGCAGTTCAGAAACTAATTGCCTTTTTAATTAAGCTGGCAGCTTGCATGCGAACTCATATAGAAAATAATTGGCATTTCTTTGTAACACTACACTTGGCAGCATAAGACTTTATTTTTAGACTTTAGAACTCATGTTTTCCTCATCTATCATCCCCAGGTCACCACCCTGTCTTCAGGAGGAGCTATTTATAAGTGTTTGCCTGTTGAAAAGTAGAACTTTCTAGACATGACAAATCTCAAAACCCTCTCAAACTCTGGTTTTACAAGCCTCAGGTGGAGCAATTATTCATCAGTGTTTGAGAGTGCTGCCCTTCACTTGCCTGCTGAGGCCCTTGCTTGTTAGCCATGTTGTTATTTTCTGATTTTCCACACTGAGCAGGTACAAACTGAAGCAAATACAGCCATGTGTAAGGCACTTTTGTCAGCCTCAGAGAAGGTGTTGGTGGTTTATTTATTAAGCCAATATATTTATTTGCAAGGTGCTCGAGAGAGAGCATTTCTCAGTCTTCCTATTTGCTTTCTGTTGATTACAAGGGGAGTCACCTTTTTGACAGGAATTTTTATTTACTTGTCTGTTTTGTAGCAGCAAATTCCTCCCCTATAACTGCTGGCTAATATAAAAGGGCTTAAGAACAAATTTCCTAACAGGCTCAACATGATCAATCCTACTGCAATTTAATTCATGTCACATTGAGTTGGCACTGTGTCTCCTTCACCTCCCTGCTTGCCTCTAAATCAAGAGCAACAGATTCCATTTTTCTTCTGGAATTTTGTATTAATCTGTTGATAATGGTGCTTTTCCAGACAAGCTGCACAGAACTAATATCCATCAGCAGAGATGAAAAAGAGGGCAGTATGATGCTGCAGAAGAAGATGAGCACCTCAGAATGGGTAAAAAGGAGAAGAAAACTGGCACTACCTGCAGGTATTTTTTTTCCTGTGGACTGATGCTAAGCAGTAGAGAAGAAACTTTTGTGTTTCTCTAAAGAATATTGCAAGGATAAATTGCCATTGAATACTGCAAATTGTGTAAGGCTGAAACAGGATTTTATTCTGGCTTTAATTTTTTTTTTTCCCCTAACAAGTAAGTTAGTCAAGGGAGAAAATTATATGAAACGCTGTTAAAACACAAAGGATGGCAACATGTATAGAAGCTGAATACTTCACCCTCACTTCAAATATTTCACTGATTCACAAAATCCTTCCAAAACTACTAGAAGCTTTCTGCTTTGTTTAAAGATGGGGTATAAAATACTGAACAAGCACAGGAGAAAGCAGACCAGGGCAATGCACTATTTTTGTTCCACAGAAAGATTGCTGGCACTTCTGTGCCCATCAGGGCCTGAAGTCTGCAGAATTTAAATAGTGAGCTCACACAGGACTGCTGGGACACAGCACTTTAAATAATGTGGTTATAACCTCTGCTCAAGGGGAGCTGGACATGCTGCAGAACTAATTTTATTCATATTTTATTATATTAGACTTATATATTATATTTATGACATAAATATGTCAGTCTAAGCTCAATAAAAAGACAGAGAGTAAATGGGACAATTTACTCCAAAACAAGGAGTCTCAGCCAGCCTGAGGGATTTACAGAAAAGTTATCCTGCTCCCAGAGGCGTTGGATGCCTGAGGATATGGGGAGTGCTTCATCCACAGCTGGAGAACCTCAGTAAATCAAGGACAGTATTTGAAGGGCCTGGGGTACCTCTCATCCTCCAAAGGCAGTTTTGGGTAGGAACCAGAGTAGAAATGCAGGTGTTGGAGGCGAGCAGGAGATGTCTGAGCTGACAAACTACAGCACAATGAGAAACATCAGCAACAGAGAGCAGAATGGCCAGAATAAAACACAAACACACACAGATGCAGCTCCCCAAAGATGCATAAACAGCTCTTTCACACTCTGCTTGGCACCTGTTACCTCTTCCATGCTTGTTTCCAGTTTTCTCTCTTGGTGGCCCTTGAGTTCTGGCTGCTCTGTGAGGGGGGAGATTGTCCCCAGGAGCTCCACAGGGTCCTTCCCCTCAGTGCTGCTGGTCTCCAGGTAGGACAGCAGCTTTCTCCACATCTTTTCATCACATCTACAGGCATCATTAAGAGAAAAGAGTTAGTGAGACCTCACAATAGAGGCCTGTGTTTGTTAAAACCAGTTTTCCTGTGGCATTCTTGGCAGCACAGGTCACAAATGAGTGTCTGACACTAATTAGGGCTTAGGGGAGGACTCTCCAGCTGTCTGCTCCCCACGTGCCACACAGGATGGGCACAAGGCTCCTGACTGCAGCCACAGGTTGTGAAATGACCTTTGCAAAGGGCTCAAATGGCATTAATTAAGGAATTAAACTTACCCACTGCCACAGCAAGGGAGCTTGGCCAGGATCCTCCTCCTGTGGCCCAGCTGGGGAGCGCGGTGCCCTGGCCACTGCTCCTCCTCCTCCTCTTCGTCTGAGGCGGCCTGGCCCTCCACAGAGCGACAGAGCTGCTCCTCTGCAGGGAGACAGGCAGCCCTCAGCAGCACCCCAACAACCCAGTGTGATGTCGTGGTTTGCCTCAGATACCTCAGGTTTCTCTCTGTAGATTTCCCCAGGTGTGCCAATCACCTCTCCTTTCCCCACCCTGACCCCTGCTGAGTGCTGTCTGTCAATCCTGGCATTCCAGAAAGGGCATCAAGTGACTGGCAAAGCTCAAAAGATGCCTTTCAGCCCTGGGGGACTTTGGGCCATCCAGGTGTCATTTGTCCCCTGACACTCCCCCCCACCCTGTACCTGCCTGGTGGGATCCTTATCCCTTCCCTCTCCCCAGGGTTAAAAGGAACAGCAACCACTCTTCTCACTGGTTACAGCTGTGGCCTGTTAAAGCCAGGCCTGTTCCCAATCTTTGGTAATTGGCCCAGCTGCAACTTCTTAGGGGTGAGATTACTTTTTACACTATCTTTATTTTCACGGTTGGAGGAGTTCAGTGGCCTGTGTGCCAGGAATAAAGCTCTGGATCAAAACCATCTATCGGAACCGACTCCTTTCCTTTGCCTTGCCTTGAAGCTTCTCCAGCAGAGGAAAACCTGAGCTCCTGCAAGCCTGGACTTGCCTGCAAGCACCCAGCTGCAATATCCAGCTAGCCAGAGGTGTCTCTGAGGTGAAACCGCCGCACATCCAGCCAGCCAAAGGTGTCTCTGAGGTGAAGCCACCACAGCTGCCGCCTTTGGCCAAGCAGCAAGGGCTGGACAAGCCCAGCCACAACCCATCTGGCTATATTGGTAAATAATTCCAATACCCAGCTACACCCCCAGCCTGAGCCAGAACAAAGTGAGAGCCTGAAGCCCCGAGCAGGTGCCCAGCAGCCTGGGAAGGGGCTGAGGCAGTGTACAGTGTACTGGCTCTGCATGAGAGGCATTTACAGAAGTGACACAAAACCACCACAGGCAGCTGCAGCCAAGATCCTCATTTTAAGAGTCTTGAAACTTTCTTTGCTTTCTTGTGGGTAACTTGGAGCTGTTTATCTCAACTCTCTTCTTTCCTTGAGGTAAGGTGAGGATAAGTGTGAAGGATCAGTTGTGGGGGACAATTACTGTTCAAGGACACAGTTTTTTTTTACTTGTTGATCTCTCTGGATTAGTTTTTCTGCCTAACTAATCTTATTTTGCTTGATGGAGCAAGCATTTCCCCCTATTTTAGAATCTATGACCCCATGATTTATTTGTATGAAAACATTTTGCTAAAAAGCTGTTTATTCTTGAAATACAGGTAGTGTAATTTTATGTGGAAACTCTGAGCTGGCAAAGTGTGTGATTTGATAAAAACATTTGTAAAAGCAAGTTTGCTTTCTAAGTTTAGCCAGGTGAAGAACATGCTACAATGTTAATTGTATTTACTTGTCACTGTTTTTAACATTCCCAAGCAGCTGCTTGCTAGCTCCACTCAACACACACCTAAAATCCAATTTTTTGTCACAACAAACAGCTCTCCAGCCTGCAGTAAAGGTGCCTTGTAATTCAGAATCATTGTCAGATAAGTGCTTTTGTGGTCTTTGAACTGGATGTGCCCAAAGAAATAAATCACTGCAGGGAAGCCAAAGCGTGCAGTGTTGTGGCAGCTGTTGGGGCTACATGTGCTAAACAGTTTGGGCTTGTCCAGAGTCACTGGAGCAGCCAGGATGTTTCCAAGGAACGTGGCTGTACAGAATATTAACTGCAAATTGTTTCCTTGGAAATTATTTTCGCTGAGGTTCTGCATTTTTATTTACAAAGAAATGAAATCTTTATATTTTGAAGCCAGGAAAAAAGTTTTGGTGGGATGAGTCATGTGGAAAAAAGCAGTTTTAAATCATAGTTCTAAGTGATAAGTTCAGTCTTTCATTAAACACAGAATTATGTGGGGAATGAGGAGCGGAAATCTGGGCTATGAGGTTTTGCCTAGGTCTGGGATTTCAAGACTCTCTAGGACAGGTTTGTGGTGTGGTGCCTTGACCTCCCTGGTGGTTTTGCTGCTGCTGCACCAGAGATGAGAGAGGCCAGGCAGTGTTTGGGGCTGGGGTTGGTACCGTGGTCGGTGGTGCCCGGTGGTGCCATGGACACTCTGCAGGTGCCCCTGGGCACGGCTGCTGCCTCCTGCTCCTGATGCTGCTCCTGATGCTTCTGCTGCTGCTCAGGGCTGCTCTGCTGCTCCTGATGCTGCTTCTGGGGGCTGCTCTGCTGGGCCAGCTGGCATCGCTCCAGTTCCGACCTGCAAAAGAGGCCAGAGGGTCATAGCTGAGACAGAGACAGTACAAAGCAACACACTCCGTTTCCAGAAGGCTTCAAACCCTGTTTTTATTCTAGCATGCATGCTTGTTCTACATTCTTACAAAGCTCATAACTTTACACTTCACTCACTGGTCACAAGAGACAAGCAAAGTGCTTATTGGAATAAGCAGTTACAAGTTTCCCTTATTTATCCTTCCTTCTTTCTTTCTTGGTTTTTATGTCAACAATCTTGGTAGGAAATTCTTTCAGGAGTAAACATGGATCCTGTTAGCAAACTTCTCAATGGCTCACAGAGGTTGCTGTAAAACATCTTCCACACCAGAGTGAGGTTGGTGTGCAGGAAATTTGGAAAACCAAGATGCGCCCAGCATGGCTTTGGTGGGATGCAGCTGCTGGGACTGGATGAAGAACAGGGCCATCGACCCCAAGGGCTGCCTGAGGTGACTTCCCTGACAGCCAAAGGAAGGTGGGTTTCACCTCTCCTGTGATAAGAAGAGCTGAACAGTGCCTGTAACTTTTAGGTCAGGTCCAAGACTTCTAGGGAACATCTGTGGAGTAGTCACTGTGGCCACAGGGACCTGCACCCAGTCCCGTGGGCTCAGACATAGCAGAGAGTTGGATCCAGGTCCTGTGAGTGATGGGATGGAGCAGAGTCAGAGCCTGAGCAGTCAAAAGGAATGATCCAGGAATGGTGGCACACCTGGAAACCAGGGGCTTGCAGGTGAGGAGTGTCTCTAATGGGTGTCATTGCTGACAGCCTCCTTTGGGATTGTCTTTTTCTGAGGTCAATGGCAGGACATCACACTTACGTGTTTTTAAGGGAATGGCTTCCAAGGGACGGGACACAGATCAAATAATGTAACTGAGGAATAGGAGTCTTCAAAGGTGCCAAATTCCCTCCAAATTCTTCTGTAGGTTAGTTTTGGTCTGGTGAATATTGAATATTTCCTTTATTTAACATGTTAAATAGCAAAAATGAGAGCTAAACCGCTTAGCAGGTGGGTCCTGCTGACACAAGTTGTATCATGCAAGCTTTCTGTACAAATCCTGTGCTGCCTGCCAAGGGCTCCAGCTGCAGCTGGGAGGGGACTTTGGCTGCAGGGACAGAGCAGCTGAGACCAGAATTGCAGAGCTTTTGTTTAACTCAGCTGCTCCTGAGGAGCCACACCAATGGTAGCTCCCTTATTGCCTGTGAAACCGTAAGGAGTAAACAAGATGATGAATTTAACCACAGAAGTCACTATTTGAAAACATCTGTAGGGGAGAAGCTGAGCTCAGCCTTGCTGAGAAGCCAGCACTTGCTTTACCCCCTTGGGTAGGGCTGACTGCATTAAAAACGAATGACTTACTTCATTTGCAATTTATGGTGTTATTCAGCTCAGCAACAACTGGATTTCCTGAAAGCCAAGGGAAACACCAATCCCCATCATCAGTTCTGGAAAAAATAATTCTGGAGTGGTGCACAAATAAAATGCACTGTAAAGCCTGGACATTCAGACCAAGAGCTCTGAGAAACATCACAGAGCTTCAGACCTGGGGGATATTCCCTTGCACAGTGATACTGCATTTTACTTTCCTGAAATGTGCTGATTTTCTGGTACTCTACAGGAATCCTTTACAATTTCTTGAGCACCACAGTTGGTGTCTGAGCAGATTGCTCTCAGTTTTGAGCTGCAGTGTAATTCAGATTGCTTGGGTTTCAGATTCTAGAGTTAGTTCACATAACACAGATGAGGATATTTCAGTGAATATTTATTGCAGTGGTTAAGATTTTAATGAAGAATTTTTAAAGTATCATGGAAATCTTTTCCAGCAGGTGTGGGTGAAAGGGACTCGAGGAGGAGCTGGAAGCAGGGATCCTCACTGCTTCTCAAACACAGGTTTAATTCTTTCCTCATTGCTATTCATACAGCATCAAATGGGTCTCCATAAATGAGAAGCAGAGTGAATAAACAGCACATTTGTTTGGGGCAAAGATCAGAGGGGGAAGGTTTGTGTGGGGTGAGCGTGGCAAGGCTTCCATGGAGACAGGGAAACAGCCCCCATTCACGGCAGAGCCTTTGTCCCCAGCACAATGGGCAGCAGCACTGCCGAGGGGAGAGTTTGCAAAGCACTGGACCTCAAAGTAATGTCCATGACTAATTGGCTTTTAATTGGCTCTGCTGTATTGTTATGGAAACATGGAGCTGCAGGAAAACCCACCTGCTTCTGGTGCTGAGCAAATCTTGGGTTTGAATAATTCCTGACTGGTCAGAAAATAACTCTGAGGAATTATTAACTTGTCATTCACAGACTTTTAACTGGTCTCTTTTAGAGACTTCCTTGGAGCAGATCAAACAGCTGTGTGTGTACATTGCCCTGAGTGTAGTTATACTCAGAGCTACACTTTATTTTCAAAGTGTAAGATTTGTGGTTTTTAACCAAAATGAGCTGTGATTTTTATTTTTGTGCTATTTTACCTAAGCTGTCAAGAGTTCAGGGAACTCAGAATGGTTTCAGATTCGGCTTACTCCCTGTGGGAATTAGAGACTTCAGGTGTGCACATTTTAGAATTATTTATGACTATTCATTTACAGCTGAGATTTTGTTTTCACGCTGGAGCTGAGTGTCTGTGCAGGTTTTCTGAATTCATCTCTCTCTGGTTGGTGCTGTGAGCTCCTCCCCAACAGAAATCCAATTAATGAACTTTCTGTGATCAATCCAGACGCTTCATCTCAGCTTTTAAATAGCTTTAAATATCTGTCAGGTATTAAAGATAAATGTTTAAAATCATTAATTTTTAGTGGCTATAATAAAGATCACTAAATATCCTGGCTTTATATGGGCAGTTCTAAAGCACATTTATAACTTCAACTCTAATGGTTACAGTTCTGGGAGGTTTCCAGTTTCTTGACTGATGATTTTCATTTTCTTGCCAGAATCACCAGCCTCTAGAAATGTTTTCTTGCAAACCTTTCCATCTCCCTGCATGTTGGGATGGTGCTGTCACACACAGCAGGGCTGTGCCTTGCTGTCCCTCCTGGGGTGGCTTTGAGCACTCTGGAGGCAGCACCAACCTTTGTGCACCCATGATGGAACTGAGGGTGCACAATGATTGTTTGAGGTGTTCTTTGAGCCCAGCCCACAAGGAACAGCAACAGAGGCATGTGGGAGCAAACACAGCCTCACCCCACACGCCCGTGCCAGAATTGCCTGGATACATTCTCTTTGTCCTTCCTGCTTTTCAAACTCACATTTCGAGAAATCCGTCTTTCTTGACTTGGATTTTACAGAAAGATGCTTGAAAGCCTACAATGAAAAAAATGAATAACTAAAATCCTGTGGTGTTCTGAGCACTGACAGCTCTAACCAAGGCACTTGACATAAATCATTGAGGCCAGAGGAAGCAGAGCTGGGCTCCTGTGATCATTTCCTTGTGTAACAGCCCTCACCTCATGTGTTCCTTCACGTAGACCTGTGCTGTTTAATCCCCAGGAATCCTTCCCTTATCTCCTGGGTGCTGCAGTGGATGGCAGTAAAAATCAAATGTCCAGGGAGCCTTTTAGTGTCTTCAGAAGTGTTCCTCCTAACAGACTATTTAACAGCTGGGTGAAGATCCTGTAGAATTCCACTCAAAGCTCTTTCTGATGTCTGTAAAACTGCAGCTATGCCTGAGTGTGGCACAGACTCAGAGCTCCTGCTTACTGGCACGTAAATTCCTTCAGGATTTATTTCAGCACCTCCCAGATTTAGAGCCTCGTGGATCTGGAGTGACAGGAGAGAAGATGGCTCATTTAACAGCAAACACTGTGCCCTCAGCTGGCTGTGAGTTATTTCTGACAGGGTCTTCCTGAGTTTGGGAAAACCTGACAGGAATGTGTGAGGGAGGGGCTGTGAGCAGCTCTAAATCCAAGCTGGGTGTTTCTCAGGAGCTGTGCAAAGGGGTTTTGGTGCCTGCAGGCTCCCCAGGAGAGCTGAGCTGAGGTGTCAGAGACAGCAGCTTCCACTCCTCAGATCCTGCATCAGGAAGCAACAACAATTACCTCACCCTGTTTGCTGCTTTGCAAAAACATCCTCAGAGCTTCAGAGTGCTGCTCTCCACCAGAGACTCTGGAATTCTGCGTGTTCCTTCAATCCCACCTCTGTGCCTGCTAGCTTGATGCCTTTTGAATTTTTTTAAGTTTTCTGAGAGCAACCTTTCCTTGCCTTCTTGAAATATTGTTCTGGTAGGTGACTGAAAAGTAACTCCTGAATTGATTCACAGAACTCAGAATGTTCTGAACTCCCAAGGCTCAATGTTAAGTGAATGGCCCATGGGTGGATCAAATCCACAATCTTGGCATTATTAACGCTATGCTCTGAGCAACTGAGCCAATCTCAGGGTCAATTATGTTCCTTTGCAAATATTTATAAGTTATTTGCCAGTTCCTAAAGATCAGAAAATGCTGCCTAGTGATTCATCATTTATTAGGATTCGGCATTAGGATCTTGTGCTTTGGCAGCAGTTATGGCAGCTTTTATTTTGTCTTTTGTGGCTGATATGGTTGAATAAGAAACATTACTGGGAGGTCAAAAGCCACTGGCAGGAGTGTAATGTGACCATTTTAGCTGCTCCCTGGGTGTAAGAACTGATTTCTGCCAGTGTTCAGCACTCTGGCTCACTTCCCTTCTCCATGCTGCACCTCTGCCTGTCTCAGCAGCACCTCCCCTTTCTTTGATGAGCCCCAGCCCAAGCAGGTTTGCACTGCATTCATCAACAAAGTCACTTAAACTTAGATCTGAGTTTAAATTTACATAGACTCTTCCCTAGCAGAACACTTAGGTGCATCATTTTAGCCAATGACATCTCATTGACATAAACTCAGTTTAATTAGAGTTTAGCTCTAATTATGTGGCTGCAGTGCAGAGCTCCTAAATGAGGTGAAGGAGAGAGATGGTCATAGGTACATGAAAATTCCTCATGGGGAAGTTGGGTAAACAGGATTCCTGTTTTCAAAGTCA